CATACTTTGAATACCTTAATCGCAATTATCCAAAAGATTGAGACCATAGAATATGAGATGAACTTGCAAAGCTTAACTGTTGGGATTATGCACAGGTATAAAATCAATCTTTTATAATATGTATATAAGATGATTTTAAATAAGTACGAAAAATTTTAGATAATTCTTTGTCGAAAATTAAGGGGATCTTTCATAATAATTTATTTTATATTTTTACTTGAAAACTATTGATTTTACGAAAAATATAAAAGAAAATAAAAAATTTCTAAAAGAATCGCATTTATAATGCTTTTAATATTTTTAGATGATCACATTCTGGTCCATTAGAAATTCTAATAAAAAATTAAGTAAGTTGTTAGTTTTATCTCTTATAATACGGGAGGATTAAAAATTATTAACAATTATTCTTTTTATTAATGGAAGATTTTTACCAAATTTTTTTATTTTTTTCTTTGAAGGAGCGTAAAAGTGACAAAAAGAGATATAAGAATATATGAAAGAGTTTACATGAAAGACTCCCCTTAATTTTCAACAAAAAATCATCTAAAATTTTTTGTACTTATTTAGAATCACTCTAAATAAGTATAAGTATTAGTATTATTTAGTAGAAGAGATATATTTACGTGTAAAACTTTTAACTTTCGAAATTTGCTAAAATGCATTACATTTAACCATGAAATAAAACATTTCATTAACATCATAGGTTTCGTCAAGATGGAATAGAAAAGAATCCAACTGTCCAAGAACAATCTGGTGTATTGCCATATAGGGCAGGTAATCAAGCACAGAAATATTTACAAATACTTCGCTTTATATCCGAAGAAGCGAATACTTTTGATTACGACATAATTACTAATATCGAAAGAGTAAGTTTAATAAAAGCTCAAAAATCTATTTAAGAACATAGAAAGAAGGAATATTTTTCAAAGTTTGAAAAATATAACTTTTTATATTTTATATATAAACACACACACACACACACACACACACACACACACACACACACACACACACACACATATATATATATATA